GTTGGAATTGAGGCTTGTATAGAGTTCAATTATGTTATTCTTGACACTTTAGTGAACTTTAAATAGTTTTTCTCGATTTTTGATTTGCCGTATTTACTATAGGGTGTCCTTAGATAAACTGACACATTTTGCAGGTAAATATCTAGAAAACAAGAAAAAATAACGAGATGCGGTTTGTTCTGGGAGAATAGGGATTTTTTAAAGTTTTTTTCACATTATTACCGAATCCTGAAATTTGCAGAAATTTGGTTTTACAGACATGCGATTTTTTGGAATAAAATTACTGCCTTATTTTTAATGAAACACCCTGTATCTTTTGTCATCGTCAGAAAGCCTGATTTTTCTACTTTACAAAAATGTATATTTTTTTTTCAATTATCTTGAACTTGGATCGTGAAAATTGCACTTTGTCCAAGGGAATACCATCGACTAACCAAAAAAAAAGAGAATTAATTTGTGCTTAATACTTTTATTAACTAATTAGCGCATAGTTAACTAATAATACAAGTATTAAACAGAAATAAGTGCATGTAAAAAACAAATTAATAATTATCATTTTTTTTTTGGCCAGTCGACGGTACACTCTTCAACCAAGTGCAATTTTTACGATTCAATTTCATGAAAATTGAAAGAAGCATACATTTTTGTGAAGTAGAAAAGTCTCACATTCTGACGATGACAAAATGTACCGGGTGTTTCATCAAGAATAAGGCAGTATGTAATTATTTCAAAAAATCGAATGTCTGTAAAACCAAATTTCAGGATTTGTCAATACCATGAAAAAAAACTTTAAAAAATCCTTATTCTTCCAGAACAAACCGCATCCCGTTATCTTTTCTCGTTATCGAGATATTCACTTCTAAAATGTGTCAGTTTATTGTAGATTACTTTTTACTTAACTTTTAGTACCGTCATAATTGAATAATGTACCTATCTTTCATCTTTTATTAATCATAATCATTAATCTGAACTGAAGTCAAGGCTGGACAACATGTTCTGAATTTAAACTTATGGAGTAAGTACCTATAACGTCAAAAATTGATCAATTTTTAACCTTGAGTCCTACGACTTATATATTTGAAGATTTCTATTAAATCTCCGGACCATTTAACCGTTATATAGCCCAATTTTTGATTTCTTTCAGGTACAAATAATTTTTTTTTTTAAATTAGTTTCCTGGAAACTTAAACCTTTATAATATTTTCTTTTCAAATTGATGATATGGCCAGCGACTGCTAATGAACTTATATGGTACCTAACTTTATTGAGGTACATTTTGATATTATTATTTTTCAATTTTGAATTTGGTGAAACTGCTGATTGAAATTTGACCTCCATTAATTGATTTTATTTAAATTGTTTCAACAGCAATTGATGTCATACTTTGAAATTATTTAATTTTTGATTTTCAACATCACTGTGAAATATAAGGTACCTGACCCAAATAAGGCCATGTACCTAATAAGACCAGTGCCCTTTATTGTTCAATATTGAAACCCATTTCCAAAAATTACAATGTTATTGAAAAAGAAATCTATAATGGAAATCAAAACCCACACCTAATATTTTTTCGCTAAGGAAACCGAGCATATTATGGGCCTCTAGTTAATTCATTAACAAAAGGGGTTACATCCTTCGATTTCTCTGTAATTGTCACACACCTCTTTGCTACCTTTTTTGGGCATACCCCATTCCAGCGCGATGGCATTGGAGTCCCCTGTAATGACCACGTCTGGGTTAGAAGTTGAGCAAAATAAGTTGAAAATATCATAATCAATTTATCATCTCATTCGAATTCATGTAGAAGTTTTAAAAGAGATTGCATCGTCTCACAACCATCTCATCAGGTCAAAACTTCCCTAGATTTTAGGAAATTCTCAACATCGTCCATCATCTCCGCCTCCTCAGATGATTATTGTCCAGTCCTAGTGGTTGAAAGGACACTATATGTGATTGTTTGAATAATGTAAATTATAGAACAATTTTGAGTTGTGCGCAAACCTAGAGATCGATAGGACGTCAATGAAACAATTTTCGTCATCAGCGCATATGGTTAATCAAGGGCTTATTAACTTTTCAATTATATAGCATACGAATTTATTTATTATGAAAGTTTACCATCCAAAAATAGATCAAATAAGCTTCAAGCCTAAAGTTTTCATAAAACAAATCGAATGAAGACGCGCAAACAATTCAAAAAATAAATCCGATCTTTTTTTTTATATTACGCCAGATGCGAACGTGGTTATTTCTTTCTGTCGTTGCGGACAATTTATGTATAAATCCAGACGTAAAACCAGTATAAAAGCTGTGAAAGAGATCCTCACGTACGCACTCGTAACTAGATTTTTAGCGCACAGCGGATTTATCAATGAGCATCTAATTCTAATTTATTCGGCCTGATATCGTCAGCGTCCGACACGGCTGATCCCGGATACATCATTTATCATGTGACGGATTTATTGCAAACTGAGTTGTAAAAGTTTAACAGAGGCTACACAAAAAAAAAAAGGTTAAAATCCCTTTGTGAAGGGGCGAAAAAAGCAGGTCCCCGGCGACGTTCCATTATTTAAAGGAGCACGTGATTGACTTTTATTACCCGAAAAAAAAAAAATTATATCGCGATTTGTATGCATAACTTTTGCCATACAGCAAATATGATTTTATGATGCCAGATTTTAGTGAAAGCGTGATAAGAATTTGTATTGTTACGATAAGTATATAACTTTGGGATACTTTTGTGTGACATAAAAATGATATTGTTTAGGATGAATCTATAAAATTTTATAGTTTTTATGAATCTACTGAGTGATTTGTTGATGTTAGGCAAAAAACTAAATGTAGATCATAACACTTCGAGTCTTGAACTATTTCTACAATTCGGAAATTAAATTTGCCCATCGCCATTAATAACCTTCCAGGTTGAAGTTACAAAAAACCAGCAAAAACTGTTCCAAATTCCATTCGTAATTACACCGGATCACTTTTAAAACGCGCCCGAATTCCCCGGTGTCGTTCGTGCATTTAAAACGCTATTTCTCGAATAAGCGGTCGAATTGGAACAGCATTTTGGAACAATGTTTTTTTTGTTTGTTTGTAGGCACCCTTAAAAAAGACTAGAGCAAAAGTTCACCCAGTAGGCAAATGAATTTGTGAATTGAAATTTCCCTTGTGCAAGCAAATTTTAAATCTACGATGAGTAACACAAAATAATAACTTTTATCCACAATCATCAAATAATGGCAGTTTTATCCACTCATATGAAGCGTCTAAAGTGATACTTTATCCACTAGTGGAATAAAATAATTTTATTCCACTAGTGGAATAATGAAATAAAAAAATACGAAATTTTTATTCTATTTATTGATATTAACATTAACATTTATATTAATAGATACTCCGTTGTTGGATTTGTCTCCTATAACTTCGTTATTGTAGGTAGAAAGGTGATAATTTCCATCAGCTTGGGAACGCACGTTTATGGGTGTTTTGGCAGAATTACCAGGAACAGGAATGATGGGGGTGTCTCCTCTTGTAAGGGACACCTATTTTCCCCTTGGATTTTTTTTGCAATACTAAGCTTACTGGGAATGGAATATAATCGATATAACTTTCAGCAACAGAGGGAGCTCTTCCATCCGCCATGTGTATGTACCATCGTTACCAAAAGTATCTGGGACAAAAATAATGCATAATAATCTCCTGGACTAATTGTACTGTCATTCATTTCAATGCATTTAATTTATGGTTTGACAAATATTTGACAATGATATTGTCACGAAATGTCTCTGCTTCGCTGTGTAGCTCGACTATTCACCCTGAAAAGCAGAACGGGAAGGGAGGAGTAACAGGGAAACACCAGAACAGTTTTAAATAGCTAATATATATTGTTACAGGACGGAGATTATGGAAACATGAATATTTAGTTATTACCACATCATCGTCATCTGAGACCAGATAACGTCCCTTCGGGTGGTGAGGCTCAAAAAAGGGCGGACAGTCAAACGTCGGGTATACCCCTGCAAGGCTAAACAACCAAACCAGCCCTACAGGAAAATCTAGAAAGCCTTTTCACTGTAGGTCAAAGCCTGGGTCGTCAGAGAGTATCTGCCCTGATAGAAATACGATAGCGTATTAACTTTATCAGTCCAGATAGTTCCCCAACTTTGAGTCGTCTCTAAACACCTACTGATTGCAGCGAAGCGCTGAGACACGACTAATTTGCCATAGTGTGGCCCGGGCTTTTATATCCAATATTTGCTGACTATGATTAGAATAATTTGTGTTTTCTTGCTTAGTTGCAGTTATTTGTTATAACCCGTGGTTCAGTGTTTTGAATTTGGTTATAGCCCGTGATCCCATGTAGGGTTGACAATATTCATATAAAGTCTGTTTCTGCAGAAATCACAAACCAGTCAGAGTGAATATTATTGGTTGAAACTAGTTTTCTGACTGTTTTCAACCAATGAAATTCACTCTGACTGGTTTTTGATTTCTGCAGAAACAGACCTATTATAGTACAATAGCTAATATGATGCTGTCCCAGTTACTTTTGGTGACGATGGTACGTGTGATTGTGGATAAAACGTTGTATTACATTCGTGTTTTAGTTGCATTTTATCCACATATGAAAATTAAACGCTCGAACTTCGTTCTCGCGTTTAAACATTCATGCGTGGATAAAATGCTTCCTAAAACACTTATACAATAAATAACTATTCAATAACATAACTTTTCTCAAAAGTACAATAAAATTGTGTAGGACCATTATGTGTCCCAAGATATTGCGAATGGAATGCGTTCAATTTCTTTAAAAGCATTGGGAATTCAATTTTTAAAAGTTACATGGACTTTTTTTGTAAGTCACATAAAAGAGAAATACAATATAAAATATTGGAGTGTGTACTTGGAAAAAGTTTCCAACCCAATCGATCTTTTGGAAATTAATTTACTAAAGCTTGCAGTCATTGTTTGTGGAAAATTACAAACACAATTCTTACCTTTTTTTGATGTTCTGAAGCTGTCATCTCGTGGGACATACTGTATATCATATACCAAAGTAGTATTTGGTAAAATTTCTCTTTCTTTATTTATCTTGTAGACTGCGTATTTGAAAGCCATTTCCGAGCTGCTGTTTTTCTGATCTTCTGTGAATATTGCCCCTGAAAAAAAAAACACCGTTTCAACAAAACTTCACCCCACAAAGCAAAAAATATCAATTATGCCTAATGAACTAAAAGTTTATGGAGCCCTTTCCGGAGATAAAAGTACGAATGTAGTAATTAACGGAAATTTCTCAGTTAAAAACAGTTTTCATTAGCAGTTAAAATTCATTTCGGAGGCCCGCCAAGGCGTGCTGCTGACTTTGTGTTTTAATTGCAAATTTTAAATGAACGATTATGAAGATTTCAAGTCAAAGGTAGTTTCAAAGTTGTATAAATTAAAGTTCAATCATTTTTTTTTTTTTGTCTGCGTAGTTTGCATTTATATTCTAATGGAAGTAGCCACTGTCTAAACGATGAGCTACACATATTGCTAGCTCACCAAAATACCGTTTCGAAATTTGGAAGATTCCGAATACGGGATTACTTAATGATAATCAAGATAAAGGAATACTTTCACAAATAATAAAGATGTTTTTTTCAGTCATTTTTTATCTATTCCCGGCTCTTGAAGTTAACTGTCAATGGTGACTTCTGTCACTTTGTACAATGAAGTCTTTGTCAAATAATTATGCATGTGTCAATCCTCGGCCAACTTGTTGACATGGAAAATCTCTTGTCACTCTCATTGATAAGAGAAAGAGGGCCGATGACGGACTGTCAATTCCACGAATAATAAAGATTTCCTTACATCAATTTTTGTCTATTCCCGGCCCTTGAAGTAAACTGTTAATGGTTACTTCTGTCAAATTGTAAAACAAACCATTTGTCAAATAATTGTGTAAACGTTGTTTCACCAGGGTTCATAGTTTTGACATAATTTGCCCTCCTTTTTTAACAAATAGAAATTGACGATCTGTATGTGTCAATCCATGGCCAACTTGATTGCATATTTTTCCAGAAAGTCTCTTGTCACTCATTGATTAGAAAAGGAAGGCTGATGACGGACTGTCAATTCCACAAATAATAAAGATTTCTTTTCAATCAATCAATCCCAGCTCTTGAAGTTAACTGTCAATGCTCACTTCTGTCAAAAAATTGTACAACGAAGTATTTGTCAAATAATTGTGCATGTGTCAATCCAATTCATGACCAACTACATAAAATCTGTTTTTTTTTTTTAAAGATAAAAGTCAAAATGACATTAGGTTGGCAATACAATGTAAAATTGTCAATCTTTCAAATTTTTAATGAAGAAAAAGCTTCTGTTGCCAACATAGTTACTAAATTTTTGACTTGGGGAATTATCTTTAAAAAAAAAATAGACTTTAATATATTTTTCCAGAAAGTTTCTTGTCACTCTCATTGATTAGAAAAGGAAAGCCGTTGAAGGACTTTCAATTCCACAAATAAAGATATCTTTTCATTCAATTTTTTTTAATTCCCGGCTCTTGAAAGTTATTGTCAATGTTAACTTCTGTCAAATTTCACAATACGCAGATAATTGCGCAAGTACCTATTTGTCAAATAATTGTCTATGTCCAACTTGATGGCATATTTTTCCAGAAAACTTCTCACTCTCATTGATTAGAAAAAGAAGGGCTGACGATGGACTTATAACTATTCCACAAACAATAACGATTTCTTTTCAATCAATTTTTGTCTATTCCTGGCTCTTGTAATAAACTGTCAATAGTCACTTCTGTCAAATTGTACAACAAAGTATTTGTCAAATAATTGTGCATGTGTCAATCCATGGTTAACTTGATGGCATATTTTTCCAGAATGTCTCTTATCACTCTCATTGATTAGAAAAGGAAGGCCGATGACAGACTTTCAATTCAACTAATAAGAAAGATTTTTTTTCAGTAAATTTTTGTCTATTCCTGGCTCTTGAAGTTAACTGCTAATAATCACTTCTGTCAAATTTTATAATGAAGTCTTTGTCAAATAATTATGCATGTATCAATCCATGGCCCACTTGATGGAATATTTTTCCCGAAATTCTCTTGTCATTCTTATTGATTAGAAAAAGAGAGCCGCTGACATACTGTCAATTCAACCAATAGGAGAGATCTCTTTTCAATCAATTTTTGTCTATTCCCGGCTCTTGGAGTTAACTGTCAATGCTCACTTCTGTCAAATTGTACAACGAAGTATTTGTCAAATAATTGTCCATGTGTCAATTCATGGCCACATTGATGGCATATTTTTCTAGTAACTCTTTTGCCACTCTCATTGATTAGAAAAAAAGGGCCGATGACAGACTGTCAATTCCACGAATAATAAAGATTTCTCTTCATTCAATTTCTGTCTATTCCTGGCTCTTGAAGTAAACTATCAAAGGTCACTTCTGTCAAATTGTACAACGAAGTATTTGTCGAATAATTGTGCATGTGTTAATCCATGGCTGACTTGATGGCATATTTTTCCAGAGCGTTTCTTGTCACTCTCATTGATGAGAAGAGGATGGTCGATGACAGACTGTCAATTCAACTAATGAGAAAGATTTTCTTTCAATCATTTTTTGTTTATTCCTGGGTCTTGAAGTTGACTGTCAATGATCACTGTTGTCAAATTGCACAAGAAGTATTTGTCAAATAATTATGCATGTGTCAATTCATGGGTAACTTGATGGCATATTTTTCCAGAAAGCCTCTTGTCACTCTCATTGATTAGAAAGGGAGAGCCGATGACGGACTGTCAATTCCACATATTATAATAAAGATTTCTCTTCAATCAATTTTTTTTTTTATTCTCAGCTCTTGAAGTAAACTGTCAATGTTCACAGAGTATTTATCGAATAATAATTGTGCATGTGTCAATCCATGGCCAACTTGATTAAATATTTTTCGAGAAATTTTCTTGTCACTCTCATTAATTAGAAAAGAAGGGCCGATGGCAGACTGTCAATTCCACAAATAATGAAGATTTTTTTTCAATCAATTTTTGTCCATTCCCGGCTCTTGAAGTTAACTGTCAATGTTAATTTCTGTCAAATTATACAATGAAGTACCTATTTGTCAGATAATTGCGCATGTGTCAATCCATGGCCAACTTGATGGCATATTTTTCCAGAAATTCTCTTGTCACTCTCATTGATTAGAAAAGGAGAGCCGATGACAGACTGTCAATTCCATAAATAGTAAAGATTTCTTTTCATAAAATTTTGTTTATTTCCGGCTCTTGAAGTTAACTGTCAATGGTCACTTCTGTCAAATTGTACAACCGAGTATTTGTCAGAAAATTGTGCATGTGTCAATCCATGGCCAACTTGATGGCATATTTTTCCAGAAATTGTCTTGCCACTTTCATTGATTAAAGAAGGAGAGCCAATAACGGACTGTCAATATCTTTATATTTCCATGAGCTCTATTGAAAATATATTCTCAAAGCTTATTTTTTGAACAACCTATACACACCAACTGGGAATATATTTCCCCCATAGGCAACTAGTCAAAATTTTAAAAAGTTATGCAAAAGTATAAGAGATCTTTTCTCCATTTATCCTTGTCGAAGGCCGCGCGTTGTTCCATAATACTTTTCCGAAGCAATATAGATGGAAATCTAAAGCATATTGAATACTTTATGTCTCTCTTATCTTGCTCTGTGGGTGTTGTAGGTGTCCTATTGACATGAAGGATCAGCAACTGAGCCCGAATTCTCTATATTCTTTTTAAAAAATGTGTGGAGCCAGTCTGGAGTTGAACACAAAACATAATCAATGACGTCATGACGTGTTTTAACCAAATCGACTTTTTAAACATAAAATATAATCATAGTTAAGCCTTAATAGTTAAGCATTATTATCAAGGTACTCAAAGGGATTGCACATAAATTATTAGTCTTGTGCAAGACAATGATTATTATTCATGATTAATTATTGCCGAGACGCGATTAAGGTGCTAATTAATCTACCAGGGTAAACTTCGGAGATATATTTTATTTTCAATTTTCACTAGTACATTATAGAATAGTGGAAACTTATATGGCAGTTTTCTCTTTAGTATAGAATCATCTACAGTCTACAGCTTGAGAGTAGACAATATGTAGTGGTCATTGGACAGTACAGAGCTGATTTTTTTTTTTCAGTTTAGGAGAAATTTGAAACGGTTAATCTACATTATGTGCCTGCTCTTAAGTAATCAAAAGATTTATTTCATTCAAATAATTTAGTGAAAGTAAGGAAAAATTGTAAGTACCTGCGTGTAGATAATTATTGATACTTTAGGATTTATTAAATAAAGTGACTATTAAATATCGAGGATAATATCCTTGTTAATATAATCACGAGCCGATTTAATCTGGGATCGGTTGAATATTCGCAAATTAAATGATGTGGCTAATGTATTCCAAACAATATGTCTCCGGCAGAAAATGCGGTTTTCTCTCATTGATATTATCCAATTTAATCTGTATATAATTTTATAATTTACTTTTGAAGTCCTAAAAGCTTTTTTTTGAGGAAAAGGAACACAATTTACAAGAAAAATAAATCCAATTAGCCAAATTAAATTCTGTTAATTGAATATATTTTTTTCGTTAAATGGGTCGTTTGGGTTAATTGAATGGAAGGTGTTTACTGTGAAGGAACTTTTGAATTTTGAAAAGAACCAAATTTAATTTATTAATGTGATGAATGATAAGTCTGTGGGCTCAGCTTGTTATTTATTTGTATGGCATCATACCCCAGTGATTTTTCTTTTCTACTGAAACATTACCATCAGCAGTAGGTTTTAATTAAACCAAATTCGCTGTAGGCACATTCTATTTTTCAAGCTCAATTTAAATTGAACAAAACCCCTAGTACCGCAGCCTTGTTAAATAAAAGAGACTCTCGTTTAGGCCATTAGATGAAATTAGGGTTGGAAAGGGTCATAGGCTTACTTTTAACGGGAGGCAATGTTGTTTACATTTACAGTTTTCCTTTTTTCCTTCTGCCAAATGCGACTTGGGATTAGTGGTTAATGCTATGCTAATGTTGTATATTTTTCTGGCATTTTATTAGAAAGCTGAAGTTGAGTTTATGCAGGTTAAATTATACAATACATTGGCCAAAC